TCTCAGCAACTGCAGAACTGTCCATGGTGCTGCAGCTGGCAGGAGCACCTGGATTATACATTGTATTCACTATATTCACTCTCCAAACTCTGTAGCAAAAAACAAAACAAAAACAAAAACAAAAAAAAATTATCTCTCTCAACCCAGTGAAGTCCTTTTGGAAAGCAGAAATGAATTGCTCCTGCAATGAATGGCACTTTTATCCCACTTTCTTTCTTCTTAGAATCTGAAGACTATATTGGAACCTCCATTTTTTCCCCCTTTACAAAGATGTGGGACTGGGTGACATTTCTTTCTCTTGCATCAAAGCTCTAAGAGGAAACTCCCACCATCTTTAGTTTTAGCCCCTGAAGCAGGCTATTTCCTGGCCCACTGCAAACACTGAGAAAAATATCTCACCGCAAAGTCCACTCAGGAAGATTTGCCTGAAGTCAGAGAGCTACCTGATAGTCCACCCTTTTTAGCACCTGCTGCAGATAATCAAGCTACAGGGCCTAATAGCAGCTGGAATGTGATGGAAGAAAGTCACTAACCTGAACTGCATGAATGCAGAACTATTTAATTCTATCCTTTTAAAAATGGTGCATTTTGAATGTATATTCTCACCAATGGGTGAGAGTAGCAGTAATTTCCAATAATGCATTTTCTGCATTGATTTCTTGGGGAATTACATTAGTGCTGTGATTTTTTTTCAGCCATAGACCACACTTGGTCTTTGAATGGAATACTAGGCACAATATTTGAAGAAATAGCAGCAACAGCCACGATAAAAAACCTAAATTTGATTCCAACAACATTTGAGTATAATTGTTGTTCGTTGCAAAGTTGTGTCTGATCTATTGCAATCCCATGGACAACATTCCTCCAGGCCTTCCTGTCCTCTACCATCTTCTTGAGTCCATTTAAGCCAGTGGTTCTCGACCTTTTTAATGCCGCGACCCCCAACCAGTCGTAAGTCAAGGACTACTCAACTGGTCATAAGTCAACTGGTGCAGCACTGTTTGCAGAATGGGACTTTTGGCAGGCTCTGCAGGGCAGAGACAGCCTGGACAATTCCTATTGGCTTTTGAAAGCCAATAGAATTAGACTCTATTCAAGAGAGTCTATTCTATTGGCTTTTAAAAGCCAATAGAATAAAAGGGAGTAGCACAGCTAAGGAAAAGGGGAAGAAAATGGCGGACTGCATTGTTTGGCGACCCCCGTTAAATGGTTGTTTCACCCCAAATGGGGTCCCGACCCACAGGTTGAGAACCACTGATTTAAGCTCACGCCTACTGCTTTAGTGACTCCATCCAGCCACCTCATTCTCTGTCGTCCCCTTCTTCTATTGCCCTCAATCTTTCCCAGCATTAGACTCTTCTCCAGTGGGTCCTTCCTTCTCATTAGTTCAAAGGCTTCAATTCTTTTGCGCTCAGCCTTTCTTATGGCCCAACTTTCACAGCCATACATTGCAATTGGGAAAACCATGGCCTTGACTATAAACACTTTTGTTGGCAGGGTGATGTCTCTGTGTTTAATATGCTGTCTAAATTTCATATAGTTTTCCTCCCCAGGAGCAAGCGACTCTTAATTTCTTGGCTGCAGTCCCCATCTGCAGTGATCTTGGAGCCCAGGAAAATAAAATCTGTCACTACCTCCATTTCTTCCCCATCTATTTGCCAGGAATTGAGAGGGCCAGATGCCATGATCTTGGTTTTCTTGAGTGTAATTAAGATCAAGTATATAAGATCATGATCTTGAGTGTAATTAAGATCAAGTATATGATTATTTTTTAAAATTCCCTTTTGTTTTATTTAATTTTTTAAAGAAATTCTTTAACTATGTACATGCAATTCTTTTTTTTTCTTTTTTTCTTTCCTTACATGACTTAACTGATAATAAATAAATTATTTTTTAAAAAATCAAGAGATGTTGGATTACAGCCTTTTCTTTGACTTTTGGACAAAGAAAATGGACTTACTATTCAGGACCAGAAAGACAAACACATGGCTCCAAACAATTCATAGAGTTGTTTATTATAGATCAGCTATGAATGTCTGCTATGAATTATGGCATCAATTAATTGAAATATGTATGCCTATAAATTTGCATCTTGTATATTTTTGTTTTATTTTTTTCTCCCTTTTATAATTTTTGGTGGGTTTTTATTTATTTATTTATTGCATTTAATTCCTTTTTTAAAAAGCAGTTCAGGCTCTCTTTGGTCATCCAGACTTCCGTAATTTAGTATTGCTTTGGCAACATTTTATTGTGAGGTCTCGCCACAATGAATATGTATTAGATGCTGTGTCAGACTTGCTGCAATTTAAACCTCTAAATAGAAATGATCCTTGGCTCCATTTGTTGAGAAAGGTATAGTTTTATAAGAAGTCAAGTGCATTGCAGTAGTGCATAGCCAGAATTGAGAATGTCATGCCAAAATCCCAGTGTCAATGGTCTGACTAGCGAACCCAATGAAAGGAACCCTTAAGCCAATTAAATCCCAAAAGATAAAACTTTATTGAATACACCATCTCGGAACTGAAGAAGCAAAACCAGCACTGTTTTTTCCCATGTGAAAGCTTGCCTAGTTAAACAATAGATTCCCTTGTCCCCACCCCTTGGGTGTTCACCCCTGTAATATAATTGAACAATGGGAAAATGTGTGGAATAAAGGATTAAAATATACATTAAATTATAAATTAAAAGAAAATTTTTACTTGATGTGCTGTTGGTACTTAACACCAGACAAGTTATCACATGCTGCAACCCTGATGAATACCGGTACCATGAGGCAGCATCAGCCATGACCAAAGGGCAACATCTGAGTGTAAGTGAAGGATGGGCAAATTACAGAGGCCCCTGGTAAACCATGGCAGAAACCTGAGTGACATTGAGAATCCGGGAATGCCAGCAGCTTCTCCCTCAATGGACACCATCATCTTGCTTGTGATAACAATGGCTCGCAAGTGCCTGAGGATTGTATTTGTTAGGCCTAGGAAATTTTGTGCATGCACACTTGCAACTGGGTATGACAGACTTCTCTGACGTCTTTTGAGCGAAAGGATCCATACTGATCTCCACTGGGCCATTGGAAGCGGTCCTCGGGGGTTGCTTGACTTCAGGGATGTCATGTGGTTACGCATCATGACCTATGCCACAGTTTTTCACAGACCCACAACATTGAAATAGGACCTGTATCGTCTCTTTTTGAGATTATTCCATTTATTCCCTGGCATGATTTATAAATGAGAGGAATTATCTTGTAGAGTTTTTTCCCCTTAAGGAACCCCTTTTTATAAGAGCTCCAAATTAGTAGCATTTATTAACCATACACCCTTGCTTGACAAACATCCAAGTAGAAAACAATTCCCTAATCAAAGAACTACCCAAGCCAAAACTACAGCCCCACCAGCACTGGCAGGGTGAGCTGTTGTATGCAAACAGGGAGAAAACGAAAACCCCACTCTTTCCTAGCAATGAAGAAGTTACCATTTGTAAGTAACCATCTGTAAGCAAATAATCACGTTCAGAGAGCACCAAGGACTCCACAGCTCAATTTTCAGCTGCATATATTGTCATCTATCATCATTTTGTCCAGTTGTTACGTGGCAGACTTAATATTTAGAGTATCTGTTCCTGAGCTATTCAAAGTCAACAGCAAAACAAGCAAAAACCGAAATCAAAGAGAAAAGAGGCGCTCAGATTTACAATATACTATAATGAGATCAGAAAAAAAAAACACAAGTGGAAAGGGCAAAGGAAAGCAAAACGTTTTAACTTATATGGGACTTCAAGTGACATAAACTATTTATTTACCTACTTAATTATCAAATTTATATAGCTGCCCATCTCACCCAAGGTGACTCTGGGTAGCACAAAATAGATTTTTTTAAAAAACCAAAATCCAATCGAGCTCCATCTTTTATTTGCCACATCTAATGGATAGAATCCTGCCAACCTCAAGCTGTAATCTTACTATTAGATGTACCCTGAGAGAATCTACCCTACTCTGCTCTCCCATCCAGCAATCTCTTCAGCCAGGTCTCTTTCTGGGAAAACTCTGTCTTGTCCAAACTCTCCCCCGCTCTCCTTCAGGTACACCTTCCATCAGACTCAGTCGTGGTCACCTAATCCATTCTCAAGGGCTTTTTTGAAAATCAAAAGGGATGGGGCCGAAGCAATTTTGGGAAGAACATCCTGTAGGGAAGGAGCCACAACTGAGAAGGCAGGTGTCCTGCAACCCACCAAATGTAGATCCGTAGCCATCTTGAAGTTCTTTCAAGAGAAATGGGCAACTACAGTATGGTGAAGCAAGAACCATACGGTAATTTACTCTGCCAAGCACAGACATCTCTCCAGTTCTGCTCACTCACTTCTGCACCACTTTTTCAGTATAAATTGTGCCTATTTCTCCAGAGATCCCCCTGCTTTCTTCAGTAGCACTAATTTTTCTATATCATTTTACTTGTTAGCTTATCTCCTGATTCCACCAAATGCATCAACAGGATTTTGTACTTCCGTTTCTACCAATACTGAAAAATAGATAAAACTCTGGGTAGTATTCATTCAGCCAATCAGTTTCTTTGCTTTTCATTGGTGAGGTCATAAGAGAGCGGCAGGTACATGAGCTCCCAAAGCAGCAGTAAATAAAACTGGATAGTTGGCTGAATGAAACCTATTCACTCAGAACTTTTTCTCAGTGAAGGCGCAGAGTGCACCTCTCCTTAGATCGGGTTTTGTTTTTAATTTAGCTGTATTTACATAATATTTGCTTATTTATTTATCCTATTTAATATCATACTTATTTACTCAGTTTACTTTACATACACTGTTTATTTATCATATTTAATATATTTGTTTAATTTAGTTTGTGATTAGCTTAGTTTGATTAAGTATAGTCCATTTCATTTAGGATGGACACATTCCTATATTATGCAGGGAAACTCCTGTTTGAGGTAAGAGAGCCTCTATTTTATTTATTAATTTAATTATTGACTTACATTGACTTAAATTTTTAGATCTGTCTCCGGAAATACAAAGAGGCACAAAGAAAAAAGAAGGAGGACATCAATGAACTACTGGCAAGACATCAGGACGAGCTGGCAGGAAAAAATGCCAGAATCGCAGCCGTGAGTAATTCATTTCCCTTACAATCCTGCGTTAAACTTCTCTTTCTGTCTGCTTATTTCTATTCTGTGACTAATGGATGCCTCTTACAATGTCTGTATCTTAGTTGGAAGAAGAAAATAAAAAACTGGCCAGCAATATCGCAAGGGTTGCTCAGGAAAATAGCAAACTAAAGGAGAAACTTCAGGAAATTGAAGAAAATGAGTATTTTTTTAACCCATTTTAATTATTTTCATGTAAAAAATGAAAGTGATTGATTGAAGTTTAACTTCACAAGTACTAATTATTTTGTTATTTTTTTTGGCCAGGGCTTGCCCAACCAACTACAGATGAGACAGAATCCGTAGAAGAGCGGAATCTGCAACGGCAGCTGGAAGAAATGGAGGGGGAAGTCGAAGAGATGTGCTCCAAGGTAGACCTATCCAGAACATTTAACCAACATAGGCAAAGGTGAGATGCCACGTTTACTGGACAAACGTGAAATAATCACACTAAGAGGCTGTTGTTTCACAGGAGTCAGGCCAAAAACAAAAATAACAAAAAAAGTTCTCTCTGAATTTTTCCAGATTTTCTTTTGCTGACATTTCAAATTCTGAAAAAAAATCTATACCAGGGACGCTTCAACACTACATCTAAATAAAGGCTTTGGAATGTAATTTTCCAGAAATACCTTTTTTTCTTTCCTCAAAACAAATATGAAAGCTCCTTCTATGATCGGAGCCATGAAAGGGGCTTGTGTGGGTAAATGAAATTGTGGACTATGTCATCAGACATGTATATTTCTAGTATGGTCACCCAAGGTGAAAAGGCCATGATGGATAACCAAGACAAACACCGATTGCATCTGCCCACCCGCACTGGAATCAGCGTGGCATATTATGAATCAAGGCAGTCATAGAATGGATACCACTTGATAAAAATGTCCACGAAAAACCTAAAACAAGATGGATCACTGGCAACAGCAATTGGCAAAAGAAAACTCAAGACCGTATTCGCTGAAAACATGTGGAAGAGGCCTTCATCCTGCAGTGGATAGACAATCGCTAAAATGACAATGACAAATCTGAAAAAAAGACTTTGGCCAATCATTGACATCTGTTGTGTAACCTGACTGGGCAGAGAAGGGGTTACCTTTATGCCTCTATGTTATTGACCGTCTTAAATCAAGCCAAGCTCAAAAACACTAGAGAATTCCTGGAAGTAGGTTATACTCTTCACTCTTACCAATTGGCCACCAAAAGACATGTAGACATAAACATCTTCCTACTGTGCAAAAGAGACAATCAAAAAGCCAAAAAGGGAACAAAAAGACCAAAACACCTAAGCAATCAACACTGAGCATAACACCAAGATTAACATCAGACCAACAATCAAGAAGTAAATACCACCCCCCAATCAAGGAACTGCCAAACAACCCAACATTAAACAGCCCAACCAAAGAAAATCGCACAAACAGACTACAAACATTAGCATGATAAAGAAGCAACACAGGTGCATTGCAAGATCTGCAAGAAATACCATTTGCCTGCAAGCAATAACTGGGGGACCGTAAAATAAAGACATAGAAAACAAAGAGGCTAAAGTGTTCTGGGACGTTAGAATTCCAACAGACAGGCACCTGCCAATAACAAGCCAATTATCAATAAGAAAGACAAAAAAGTCTAGACATTTGATGGGGCAATCCCTGGAGACAGTAGAAGAGAAGAGAAAGACAGAAGAAGATAACAAAATACAAAGACCTGCAAATAGAAATAGAACAACTGGAGAAAAGAAGGCAAAGGTAGTACCAGTAGTAAGAGACACCTTGGGTGCAATCCCAAAACAATTGGAGCACCACTTGGACACCACTGGCATTGCCAAAATCACGATTGGTCAGTTGCAAAAGGCAGCTTTGCTCAACAACAGCTGGAAGAAAAGATGTTTCTCCTTACAAAGAAATAACAACTGTATCAAGCCCAACAAAAAGAGAATATTTGAAACAAATATTCTGGTCCTGCCCTCGGGTGCTTTGAAGAATAGTTTGACCTCCTCTTCTCTGTGTCAGCCCCTCAAGTAGTGGGAGAGACAGCCTCACAACTACATGGATTTGTTACCTTTTAACATCTTCATAAATAATCTGGAAGTGGGAATAAAAGGGAACCCATCACATTTGGAGACAACACCAAGCTGGGGAGAACAGCCAACAGTTTAGAAGACAGACTCGAGATACAGAAGGATCTTGACAGACTTGAACACTGCGCCCTATCCAACAAAATGCAATTCAGTGGTGAGAAAGTAAAGTGTTACATTTAGAAAGAAAAACCAAATGAACAAGTAAAGAATAGGTTGGAGTTGGTTCAACAGCAGTAACTGTGACAGGAATCTAGATGTCCTAATGGACGACCACTTAAGTCTGGTGTGTGCTGCTACTGCCCCAAAAGCCAATGCAGTCCTAGGCAGCATTCACAGAGAAATACGATTAAGATCATGTGAAGTGTTAGTAACACTTTATACTTCACTAGAAAGATCACATTGTTTGGATCTCCCTGATTAAAAAAAATGTTGAGAGTCTAGAAGGAGTTCAGAGAAGAGCAACAAAGATGATTAGGAGTCTGGAAGGCTAAGTCATATGACGATCGGTTCAGTGAATTAGATACATCTAGTCTAAAAAAAAAGGATTAGGTGTGACATGATAGCTGTCTGCCAATATTCGAGGGGCTGTCATAGGGAAGAGAAGGTGATATCCAAAAGAGATATCCAAACTAAAATAAGGAGACATTTTCTGACACTGAGAACAATTAATCATTGGAATGGCTTGCCTCCCTTCCAATGCTGTTATTCTATATTCTGTATAGAATATAGTTTGTTTCCAACATACTTATTAAAAATCATACACTTGGTTCCATTGTCTACTCTCTTTTGTTGTTATACAGTATTGCACCACAGCTAATGTGATGTCTACTGTCTATTTTTCCCCTTTCTCTTCCTCTTCCCGCTCTCATCTTTTCTTTCTCCTACCTTCTCTTCTAAGAGAAAGATGTAACTCGTTGTGTTGCCATGAAAAAAGTAAACATCCTGGCTCATTCCTTTTTCCAACATGTCCCCATCACCATTTTGGACAGCGTGTGAAAATCTGCAGCCTAATCTGCAGCCAAAACATCAAAATAGCAGAGTTGTCTGATTTACAGACTTCTTGAAATAAAACCTATTTAAACATGGAGACAAAAAAAAAAAAAAAGACTACTTTGAAGGTCTTTTCACAAAGCAACTTTGTCAAAGGGGGAGAGGGAGCATCATACACTTATAAAATGATCTAAAATGCTGATCGGAGCCTACATATTTAACTGTAACCTTATTTTGGAAAGTGTTTAGCTTCAGGGCATAGTAAAAGAATATTGTTTTGAGTGCTTGCTCTGAAAAGTGAGTGTACAGCAGAATATTTTAAGAAATGCATATTTTGCATACAATACTCTGTTTCAATCCCTGATGGCAAACATATTTTATATTGTAAATTGTTATTTCTGGGATGGTCTGAATTAGAATATGATCTGTGCATGACCATATTTGATGGCTCAATCTGGGACCGAGTGCGTGGTGACACTTGATCCAGCCACTGGGAGTCTTTTTAAATCTCTTGATAGGCTCTGGTAGAATAGCAGCTACAAGGAGGTCCGTGGTAAACCAGTGTTTTAATCCTAGAGAAAACTGCTGGTTGTATTCAGAACTTCAGAAATGCTGTTTAGAATACATGCCTGAAAGAAATTCCAAGAAACGTGAAATGGATCTCTATGCAGAATTTGTTGATTTTGAATGTGATTGGATTCCTTTTCTAACACAGGCTTGTCTCTGTCTCCTAAATATGAAGATGCGTGCTTCAGAGCTTTCCTTGCCTTGGGGGGGGAGCAGGGGGGACAGCAGCACACCGCCTGCCTTTCACTCCCCGTCCTTCGAGGAGCCGAGCCGGCCGCAGCTGCAGCTTTGGACCATCCTTGTGCCACGCTGGGTGGAGGTCCCGGTTCTCCAATGTGAAGTGGGCAAATGTGGCACTCAGGAGCCAAGCAGAAGATGCCTCTTTTTCGGGGAAAGCAGCAACTCCTGAAGGCCTCTTCCAGCCTTGGTCTTTTGCTCCGGCTAGGGAAAGGAGCCGGAGAGGCTGGAAGGAGCTGCTCTGTGTACTCTGCCATTGGGAAGAGGGTCTGCTCAGGTCCGCTGGCTGTCCCTACCTCCCTCGCTCAGCCTGCAGGACTCTCCAATTCCAAAGGTGCTTTTTCAAGAGGCAACGGGACTTTCTTGTTTTTCTTTGAAGACATTTTGCTTCTCATCCAAGAAGCTGCTTCAGCTCTGACTGGATGGTGGGGAATGGAAGGATTTATACTCCTTGCAGACAGCTGGTCAGTTGCATTATTTTAGAGAGTCATTGAGGCCATTTGAAGGTATACCTGTGTGTTCTGACCTGACTCCCTGAACACAACAGATGCATCAATAAATCTCCAACGTTCCTTTTATTCAGAAATGCCAGCAGTTTCACACAGCCAACTGTCAAAGTCTTTAGTTGCTTCCAAACAACGGAGCTTGCTCTCTTTTCCCCTGCAGGGGTCTCCCAAAACCTAGAGTTAATCTCAGTCTCTCACTACGCTTGCAGCAAGAGTCCTTCAGGCAAGCTGGTTTTTTCCAACATAACGCGCGCGCACACACACACACACACACACACATATGCTCAGAAGGCGCTCCAACTCTCAGCACCACAGGATCCGAGAAAAACTCCGGCAAGTTTCCCAACAAAAGTCAGGAGTTCCAAATAGAAGTAGTTGAGTGGCAGGGAGACAAATAGTTATCCGCCACACCTATTCATCTCCGCTCCTGCCTTTTTCCACAGCTGAGGGTGGGGCTCTGTTAGCAGCAGTGATTGTTCTGCCCCAAAGACCGGCCCATGGCTTCTTCTCAGCTTCCGTTGCGCCCACACATCAATCACTGGCCCCATGTGATCCTCTTCTCCTGAATCACTTGCCTCAAGGCATGGAGGTCTCAGCCTTTCCATCAGGGGGCTTGCGGACGGCCCAGGCTCCACCTCTGTCCCTGACTGTGACAGCTCCATTCCTTCATCCCCATCGGAGCTTTCAGATGACTCTGATGCTGGGGCCGATGCCCATCCCTGTGCTTCCTTCTTTGAATCGGCTGTGGAGTCTTCCAGCGGCCGACAGGCCACAACACTGTATCTTCAAGGTCACATGAGTGATGCAAATGGGTGTGGAGCCTTTTTGGAACCGCTGAAAAGCCCTCTGAGTGGAGTTTCCAAGGTTTCTGCATCCAGAGCAGCTGGTTCTTGGCAGTTCAGGCTCAGCCATGAAAAAGAGGAATTCTGTCCTCCATCCAAGATGGGGAGACAAGAATTGAAGGATTTGCAGGAATGGAAAAAATGAGGATCTCTATTCACAGCAGAGGTTGAGCAAATGTCGGGCTGGTTGTCTTATATACAGTGTATTGCAATATGGGGGGGGCTGTTTAGAAAAAAGAGAGAGTCCCAACACAATGGAACTTGTTTCACTAGTAATAATAACAATAACCATCTTCTATGATGGCGGCGCCTGGATTGGCTGCGGCTGCATTAGCTCTTGAAGGTGAAAAGTTTCCTTTTTCATGATCAATAAGGTTTTGATGTGTTTGAGCAACGTGGTGGAACTAAGGTAACATACAACTGACAATCTTTGCTGGCATGGCAAGTTTCTAACTGTTTCAGAACTGTTGGTGAGACCGTTAAAAGTCGTTGGAGCTGTTTGAAATTGTTCTGCCAGCAGCAAGATCTGACTGTTAGCCCAGCGATGGATTCTATTGCAAATCAGGGCTGTTTCCAAAGGAGGCAGAGGAGGAGCGGTCCAGGAGCTGGGGCTTACGGAGCGAAGGAACTGGATGAGGCTGTCGGCAGGCCCAGAGGATGGGAGAGAGGCTTTTGGAGGAGTGGGTAGTGGCTGCAGCATTCTCCAGGGGCAAAAAGGAGTGAGGCCTCTTTAAGGAAAAGGTGGAAGAGACAGGATCAGAAAAAAGAAAGGAGGCAAGGTTGTTGTGCAGGAATACGAGCTAATTTGAGGGCTTATCCACATGGAGCTCCGTTTCCATCTGTCCTGTTTGCCATCATTCGCTCCCTAGAGACTAAAATGGATGATCTGAAACTTGAGCTGGCCACAAACAAGGAGTGTATATCGGAGGTGGTGGCCCTTTGAGAGCTGTATGCAACGAAATTTCATTTTGAGGTATGCCAATTGGTGTACATTCAAAGTGACAAAAAGTTGTTGTTATTGTTATTATTGTTATTAAAATAATCCAAACAGATATGAGTTAAAAATGTCTAAAGGAGGATTAAAATATGCAAGTAGCAATTTGTAGCTGAGGAAATAGGGGGGGGGGAGGAAGAATCGTTTCTACAAAGCTCTTTCCATGCTTCATTTATGTTCTTAATAATATTTTCCCTCTGTCATCCTGAACATTACAATTTTGTTAATCACATCTTGAAAAAAGGCCAGGAGTGCATAAAACTCCAATGGCCCTGATAATGCATCTCTACTTTCAGTGTATAATGAAGCCCGCCCACCCCACTGCCACTGGATCAAAAATATCATCTCCTATAGCTCTGAACTTTCCTCCTATTGACAAGCCTTTCCTTTCTCCAGAAAAGCTCTTAACGGATTGGATCTGAGTCTGATCCTTGTTCTCACAAAGCCAGCAGAGGGCTGTCAGGATCCTCCCCTGAACTGAATGTGAAGGAAGATATCCCAGGAGCTGAATTTAGTCCCTCCAGTGTGTAGCCACCTTAAGTACCAAAACACATTTTCCCCAGATCCCTACTGTAGCCCCTCCTGAGTGGTTTTCAGAGTCTGAAAGATGTGGCAGAGTTCATCTTTCTACTGGGGTCTAGAACAGATAAGGGAGGGCATATATATGCCCACCCTGTGAAACTAGTCTGAACACCCAGGATGTCAGAGAGCACACTGTAGAAAGTAAAAGAGTTGATTTTGACAGAAATGCAAAGAGGACTGAAACATTTTTTATGTCCTGGGAAATAAGACATTGTTCGGATGGGGTATAAAAAACTCATCCAGATGTGTATAATTCTGCCGTCTATTGCAATAAGGCATTGTTCTAGTCTTCCTGTGGTTGGCTTTCTGCTCTGGTCTTCCTACTGGGAAGCTGAATCAGCCAGAAAACTCTAGTAAAATGTTATTAATAGAGACATATCTTTTCCTTTCTTTTCTGTTAAATGTAAAAAAAATAAAAAAAATAAAAGACACAAAGCATGTAAGACATTTAAAAAGTGCATTAAAAAGGGAGGGGAAACCAACCCAATACATATACACATGTTGTCTCCCTCTGATTAATACATTGCTACAATATTAATTTGTGCCCCTTGCAATACAACACCCCCATTTTTAAAAAAACCAGTAAATCTATTTGCAAACTATTTATTGCAAGGCTATGTCTCTACTGAATATTCTTTCTTCAGTGATGTGACTTTTTCTTCATTATGTTGCCCCTCAATGAATTTTTTTTGTAAATATTTTATTAATGTCAGGTTTTACAAGCATAAGTACTTAATAAACAACTTGGTGTCTGGGTTTCTTTATCATTCAGTGGTATATATTAACTTTCACTCAAAATATCCAATACTACACCATCACTATTT